GATGTATTGAAAAAGACCAGGTTAGCACACTTCTGCTACCTCAAGATGGGGACGATAAGCTGGAAACCTTTCCTGGAAAGAGACGGAAGCAGCGGCTCCTCTAACGGAAGTGTTCGTAGAGTGCCAGGAAGTCTCCACGGCTTTGCTTTCTCATTGGCTGATGACAGGGGCGTAGCGTACAGCAGATGCACCATGGCTCGTCACATATTGGCCCACCCCTCCTGGTCCCATCTATCTTCTCACAGGCTGCTCTCTGGTATCTTGAAATATGGTATGGAAGGCATGCTTCCTGGAATGACCATATTTAGAATTATTTTTACTCGTTATGAAAGTTTTGTATAATATCCTTTTTATTTTCCCGAATAAAACTGAGCAACTTTTTATTACTTTGTCTACATATTCCTTTTCTTTTCTTCCTTTCTTTGTTTCTTTCTTTGTTTCTTTCTTTCCTTCTTTCTTTCTTTCTCTTTCTTTCTTTCTTTCTTTCCTTTCCTTTCCTTTCTCCTTTCTTTCTTTCTTTCTTTCTTTCTTTCTTTCTTTCTTTCTTTCTTTCTTTCTTTCTAGCAGGCTGGACTCAAAATGGTTAAAATGCTCTGACGCTCTCTCCACATACTCTATCATCAGTCATCAGGGCAGTGATACTCCCTAGATAAACTAATGAGAAAGTCATCCCAAAATACTAGACCAAACTAGTACAAGACCATGATAAAGTTTTTACCAGCACATCACAACATAAGAAAAGTAAGAAGAATGTAGTAGTTTGCTTGAAAAGGTAAGTATGACCCAAGCTTATGTTATTTATTTTGATATTATCTCAATGTAATTTTTCTTGATATAAAAATAAAACGTCTGAAAAATAAAATTATGCCAACAGGATGATTAAGATCTCGTTGCCTGAAGTTACACATACAACCAAGAAATAGAAAATCTGTAATCCAGGGCCAGGGAGATAGCTCAGTAGAATAAGCCTGGCAAGTGCAAGGGCCTAAGTTCAATTCCTGGTTCTGTGAGAAAGAAAGAAAAGAGAAAAGAAAATCTGTAATGCAGACTCTAGAGTCCATGCTTAACTCTTAATTAATTAATCAATCAATCAATTCCTGTGCCCTCTGACCTTTTTGTATATCAGTTTCTCCCACTGAAAGCTACAGAATAATGAAAGCTCTCACCCTAGTTTATAATCATTAGATGAATCATATTTTTGAAAAGTTATCTTAAGGCCAGCGCCAGCGAGCTCGGCCTAGGCCCCACTCCGCCGCCGTCATGGGCTGCACGTTGAGCGCCGAGGACAAGGCGGCGGTGGAGCGGAGTAAGATGATCGACCGCAACTTGCGGGAGGACGGGGAGAAAGCGGCCAAAGAAGTGAAGCTGCTCCTGCTGGGTGCTGGAGAATCGGGTAAAAGTACCATTGTGAAACAGATGAAAATCATTCATGAAGATGGCTATTCAGAGGAAGAATGTAAACAGTATAAAGTAGTTGTCTACAGTAATACTATACAGTCCATCATTGCAATCATTAGAGCCATGGGACGGCTAAAGATTGATTTTGGGGAACCTGCCAGAGCAGATGATGCTCGGCAATTATTTGTTTTAGCTGGCAGTGCTGAAGAAGGAATCATGACTTCAGAACTAGCAGGATTGATTAAACGGCTATGGCGAGATGGTGGGGTGCAGGCATGCTTTAGCAGGTCCAGGGAATATCAACTCAACGATTCTGCTTCATATTACCTAAATGATTTGGATAGAATATCACAAACCAACTACATTCCAACTCAGCAAGATGTTCTTCGGACCAGAGTGAAGACCACAGGCATTGTGGAAACACATTTCACCTTCAAAGACCTATACTTCAAGATGTTTGATGTAGGTGGCCAAAGATCAGAACGAAAAAAATGGATTCACTGTTTTGAGGGAGTGACAGCAATTATCTTCTGTGTGGCCCTCAGTGATTATGACCTTGTTTTAGCCGAGGATGAGGAGATGAACCGAATGCATGAAAGCATGAAGCTCTTTGACAGCATTTGTAACAACAAATGGTTTACAGAAACTTCCATCATTCTCTTCCTTAACAAGAAAGACCTTTTTGAAGAAAAAATAAGGAGGAGTCCATTAACTATCTGTTACCCGGAATACACAGGTTCTAATACATATGAAGAGGCAGCTGCTTACATTCAGTGCCAGTTTGAAGATCTGAACAGAAGGAAAGATACCAAGGTGATCTCTACTCACTTCACCTGTGCCACAGACACCAAGAATGTGCAGTTTGTTTTTGATGCTGTTACAGATGTCATCATTAAAAACAACTTAAAGGAATGTGGACTTTATTGAAGAAGGGGGATGCTAGTAAAAGTTACTACAGTGTGGAGTGTTGAGACCAGACATCCTTTGCCTCCTTGTGGGGCAGCTGCAAGCATGACGGGACCAGGGAATGGCAGCAGCATGCAGAATCTTAGCACTCTTTAGCACAATCTTCTGCGTTAGGGAACTTTAATTGACACGAGATGCTAAAGGCAGACATTGGAATTTGAACAACTATAAAGTGAGATTTGATCATGAAGACATCACGTGGATTTAATCATCTCAGATATATAGGGCAGATAAGTTGAGGTGCTGCGTTCCAGAACTTTTAATACATAGCTTACTGTTTTCCTTCTTAACAAATCACCAGTTCATTTTTCACGTTTTTTCATCAAGAGAAGAATAACTCTACTAAATTTTATTTCTTTATTTGCAAAAGAATCTTTTTATTAGAACACAAACAGTCTTAACTATGCACTTGAGGTGACTAGATCATCTGGAAAATATTCCTCTTAGTAGGAACTCTTTGTTTTTAATTCTTGGTATGGTCCATGATACATTATTTCCATACTTAAAAATCTTTTGAGTTATATTAGGGCTAAAAAACATAACTTTTTGAATGAAATTATTTTGCTGTCCTGCACAAAATACCGTAATGGTTTCTGAATGGTAATTACATTGGAGAGTTCTGTGATGAGATTCTAGCTCTTTTAAACTTATGGCTGAGGTTAACCTTGTTTATGCTAATTACCAAATTACTAGTTAAATGCTCATGGAGTAAGATAAAATCAGCATCAAGTGAAAGGCACACCCAGGCCATCATCTGTTAGAAATGCAAATTGTTAAACTCTAGGCAGAGCTAGAGGCTTTGCTGCTACTTACTACTAAATTGCCCACTGATTCTTGCCTGTTTGTCAGTCACAGGGAGTTTTGTACAGGGTGCCTCTTGTTTTCCATCCTCATGACCTTTTCTGTTGGGAGACATCTAAAGGATATTGATAGTGCATGCTTTTATTTTGTAAATGTGGTGCCAAATCCCTGTTCGCCATTGTTTTTACTGTAGTAATGTTAACTGTAGTAATCCTTAGTCAGTACATTCTTTTACCAAAAATACTGCATTTTGGGACTTTTTCCACTTTGTTCTATGTACAGATTTTAATCTGTTAATAGTTGACAGCAGTATTAAAATGGTGAGTAAAAGAGTCCAAAAAAAAAAAAAAAAAGAAAAGTTATCTTAAGTAGCGCATGATAACTACAAGCTCAGTATAGATGATGGCAATGTAAACTAGCATTTATCCAAAGTCATACAGCTACCAAGTGTCAGTAATGTGACCCAAGCTATGCTGTTGATCTGGCACCTACCACTGAGTGTGTATGCCTCTGGCTGTGGCATCACACTGATTCATACCACGAAGCCCAAAATGAGTGCAAGCAGTGAAGGATAAGTAAACTTAGTCACATCATCACTTTCAAAAGTAACTGGGACAGCTTCAGTCAACCATGGAAAAGGGGAGCTGTCTTGTTAGCAACTGAGATGCTAAAATTGTCCTGAAGGTGGAGGAAAAGCACGGAACCAGGTGGGCTGTATTCCCCACGGCTCCCACTACTTGTGCAGCTGTTCTGTGGAGCTAAAGGGCTTAAAATAAAACAGCACAATTACCAGCATGACCCAACTCTGCTTTGGCTCCTGCATGAAAGAAAATGTTTCTAGAAAGAACATTTATTGATTGTTTTTAATGCTAGATTTGACACTAGTTACTGATTTGATTCTAAAGACTTAAAAAGTTGTAAGGGGAAGAAATTTGTGTTTCTCAAAAGCAGGCATGCGTACATACATACATACATACATACATACATACAGGGCATTCTCAATCTTTGGGGCTGTATTCAGGACAAAAGCACAGAAAGCAAGTTCTATATATGTGAAGAAAGGGAAAAGGACAAGAGTTTGAGTTTTCTTCCTGTCATCTCTTACCTGGGAAACAATCTGAAAGAAAAAGTGATGTAATTTCACTTGTCCCTGGTCCCGCATCTCTGTTTTGTCTGTTACTTGCATTTCACCTGCTTAATGTAAGCATAACTCTTTCTCTTGCTGTCCAATTAGGAGAAAACTATTTAACCTACCAGGAAACCATCAGTCCTTTGAACTTGTAGCTTGATGAGTGAACATTTGCTAGGAGAATGAACCAAAAGCGTTCAGCAAATGTTTCAGGACTCACTGCATTTGGTATTCATACTGTCAATTGCCAGAGCACAATCTTGCCAATCAGCGTGGCCCTGGCGAAGCGTCCCAAATCAGGGAAGTTGGCTACTTGACATTTTCTCCCACTCACAACACAGCTCAAGTCTTTCATCGCTTGTCATAACTTTGAAAATAACTTTAGCTATATGAAAGAATTTTCATTCTTTCCCCTGGAACCATATTGACTACGTAGATACAGCATACGTAGTGGCATTTTGTTTTGGACTTTGTTTTTAATTAGTTTTTCATACCGAGGACCCACTTGTTGAAACAGATGTGAGGAGCCCAATAATAACTCTCAGCTGCCAAAGGAAAGTTATGAAACTGCACAGACTGTGCAGAACAAATGACCATAATGAAGGGAGGACAGGGTCCCCATAACAGGGCAAATTGGTATTTCTTACATATAGCAACCTAAGTGTGAGCAGAAACTTCATGCATCTAGCATCAGCCTTCTGTACTCTCCCTCATCTCTGGGTAACTAAACTGAGGGAAAGAGGCAGTGTGCAGATTCAAGCCCATTCCTTCCCAAGCTACCACACCAGCATAGGATGCATTTCAAGAACAGCAGTCCAACTGACTCACAAACTGAGCCTGGAAGATGTGCTTTCTCACACATCAGTCTGTTTGTAAAAGTGGGCAAAAATAGCCACATGTAACCTAGTTGTGTGTTTTGGAATAAAAGCCACATTATTTTCAAATCAGTAAACATCAAGTACAAACACAGCGTTGAATCACCAGAGTGGTAGAGATGTAAATGTCTGAATATCAGCTTTTTCAGAGGAAGGGGAAGTCATGATTTGTCATATTTTCCAGTTTTCACGGTGTAAATATTCCCACCATGATCAATTTCAAGGTTCCAAGATGACATCACCAAAGCAGAGCTGGGGAAAGCTGCACACCAGCCCATCACCCTGAATTCCCACAACAGACATGAGAAGCATCAAGCACACTAAAGCAAAGAAATGTAGAGAAATGATTAGTGGGTGGTGAGTTTGGGGTGTTCACCGCCTTATTTTAATACAATTTATTTCACTGTAACTGACTTAATTTAATTAACAGTGACCGTGCTTAACAAGCAGCTCTCAAAGATTCCTGAAAATTTGATAATTGACTTTCACAGCTAACAGGAGCTGGCCCCAGTGCACAGCTGGATGCCCATCTCCATGTGAACGGCCATCTGAGACTTTTCTGACTGTGCCTCTTACACAAGGGGCTGTGGCATTATCTGCATTTCTGAGCCCCTTCTTTCCCCATCCAAATCATAATCCACATTTGACAAGGTCCTCAAATATTCTTAGTCTCATTGAAGCTTGAGAAACACCAAACTCATGAGCAACTTGAATGGATGCTAAATTAGAGAAATTTAACAATATGCATCCTCAAAATTTTAAGTGCTATTATCAGATAGATTTTTAGAGAAGCCCTCCAATAATCATGATCTTTCAAGGAAGCTGCAGAACATTACTGCATGATACATAGTGCCTGAGATTTTTGTTTGCATTCTGGATTAAACAAAAGAAGACACCCTATGGCTTGGGAGGCAGAAATTCTTCAGGCTTCTTTGAGTACAAATTCTAGCTTTCTGCCAAATTTTTCAGTGCACTGGAATAATGACTTAACCTCTCTGTACCTCAGGTTTCTCATCTACAAATGATATTGGTAACGCCCACCTTGCTCTGTGATCATTAGAAAAAAATTAGATTACAGTGCTCTTCCTAGCATTTTGGAGAATATCTAAATGCTCAAAAAAACTTTAGAAAGTATTTATATTTCCTACAAGGGAATAATGCCAAGCCATTCTTCCCACACCAGCCTTAACATGTGTCCAAAAATAAGAAAAATATGTTTTCCTTGGTGAGCCTTCTAATAATTCTAATTTTGATCAGAAACTTTTCTACTGCTCTGATTCCCTAATACTTATAAATGAGCATAGTAATTACAATTATCTCTAAAATATATCCAAAGTCAGTTTACACACCTATAATATTCAACAACGGAACTTAAAAAAAAATTGGGGTATAACTATGAATGTCCATTTTGTATCTGTGTATTCAAAGAGGTTGGGATAGATATATAGTTGCATTCTCTTAATGAATAGAATGATTTTTTCTAATGGTGTTTGTAAGTAGGATCACAAGTCTGCATCTTGTACAGCAATTAACCACTAAGAAGAATATATGCAGTGTATTATTTGTTGAAACTGTACTTTCGATTTGATTTGAAACTGTCTCATTGCTATATGTTTATCAATAAAACTTTGAAAAGAAAAAAAAATAAAACAAAGAAAGTAGAGCACAAAATAAAATATTTAAGAATGAAAAAAACAAAGTCATCTAAGGTACTTCTGGGAAAAGAATTTACATTCAATTATTTTGTTTGGTTTTTTTGGGAGGGTGGGTTGAGTTTAGGGTTTTGGTTTTGTTTTACAACATCCAAAAATGGTGGTCTCCTCCACCCCATCTCATCTTCATGTGCTCCCTTGAATTCTGTGACTGAAGGATAGCTCTGAATGAGAAAGAAAAAAACAGAAAAATTCAGGATCTTGTGGTGACCCCAAGCTCCTGCATACAAACCAGGACAACTTGGATTGGACCTTCCAGGGACTCTTGCTACTCAACATAATAAGTAGTCAGTAAGGTTAAACTGCATAGGATTAACCTTCTGCCTTTCACCAGGCGACATCGACATCCATACAAGGTGAGCTTTGTCTTTGCCTTCCTGCTTCTCTCTTCTGTTCACCCTCTTTCTTAAGTTCACGGTAAGTATCACCATTTCAAATTTTTTAGACAGCCAACACTATTTGTGTATATAATATGCTCAGGAAATGGCGTGACTGGGGCCAAAATGTCCCCAGAGAGTTGTACACAACCAAGTGGACATTCAATTTCAACTTCTATACTTAATGCAGATTTTCTCTTAGTTGCTATAGAGGAGACAGTTGTGTCATA